TTTGCACGAACAACAGGTGACTAACAGAAGCAGGTAGCTCATTAATAGTAAGATTCTCTCAATATAATCTCACGTATTCTATTTCAATTTAGATATAGTCATGAAGTAATTATGCTGAATAGCTGGCTCGCTCAACTAAGACCATCAAAGTGTTATCTTCAGTTGTTGAATGATATAGGAATCGACTACCAGTGGTTTGTGATGTCTTTTCATATTCATGTTTTTCTTATTCTGGGTATCAGGTCAAAAGATTTATCCTGTTTAGATCGTTTGGAGCAGAGGTATGACATTCAGTCAATTGCCGAGTCGAGCACACCGCTCTCTCGAACAAAAAGTCAAGAATGAACTTGATACAAGTTTTATTCCTCTCATCAAAGAAAGTAAGCGGCTGTGTTCAAGCTCATGGCCGTATGCTGTGCTTTGAGGTAAGAAAAGGAATCTACTCTAGAATTAACGAAGGCTATATTGATGGTTTAGTAATGCAGTTCATCTGTATGTATTTCGCTCAGCACGAGCATGACCGAACTGGGATCTTGTTGTTTGTTCGGATTGTCAGGGACAGTTTAATCTCAGCGAATCTATTCCGTAAAGCTGGAAACAGTGGTGCACTTGCGGTGTACTGTTATTGCACGAACCACAGGTGACTGAAGATTAGCTAATTAATAATAAGATTCTCAGGATTATAACTTCATGAGAAAATTTATTGGAGAATGAATACTACTCTGTTGGTTGTATGCAGGAAAATGATCATTTCGATTGTAATCGTTGTTTTCAGATGTCCAACACCCACTAGCTGAAGAAGAAGTGTTGAATTTAGAGGATGTCGAACTGACGTACGTAGTGATAGGCACCCGAATAATCAGGTATATAATGATTTGAAAAACTTCCTCAAATCGCAATTCCATATTTCGCAGAGATGGGTTCGATAGTCGAGCTTAGTTACGCATCGTTCAGAGAGAGTTCTAGCTGCGGACAATCCTGCTGTTTGAAAGGATAACCACCCAATCGTGAAAGGATTCTGAGTGAATGTTGGAGAAGATTGGAGCCCCTGGAAGCGCTAGGACTTGGCATTCTAACGTAAGTCTGAATCATAGAGATCTAACTTTACATAATCTTTCATTTAGTTTCTCAAAGAGTATTCACTGATTCCTTGCCCTGAACCTATCTAATCGAGTGAAAGAGTTGCAGGTAAGAACTAAGTGGTTAAGCAAGTGTTAATTATGTCTTTCTAGATTACAGGAAGGATAGTAATCTGCTACT